TACCAGTCCTTCATCACCTTACACGAAATAGGGTGAATACATCTCATTACACTGATTTACTGGTATTCTCAAAACCCTACTCAATTACGAATACGAGTCGACGAGCCCTTTGGCTGCCTGTTACATGGTCATGCAAGTGGCAACACAGTCTACATGGGCTCCTTACACTTCAAGCTGACAACCTGGAGAAGGCGAGTAAATCTAGCCTCGCACTACTCATACACAAAGTGAGTAGTTCAGCGATGGTTTTGGGCTTTTGCCTAGCGCAGTTGGTGTTGCCTTGGCAACTAGAAGCTCCTCTTCTCACCAAGATTTGAGGCGGACTCACACTCCACTATGGAGCAGCTGGCTCTCTCTTTCTCTTTATAAATAAAAATAGCATGTATATGAGATGTATTTACCCTATTTCGTTTTAGTTGATAAGGGGCTGGTAGTTAAATTTGCCAACAATAATATGAGTAGACCTTACGTTTCTATTGAATTTCACATAAACTTGCCCTCTCAAAAGATATTTTGGGAAGTAGAAATTTAAGGTCTACTCGTATCATTGTTTCCCTATCGCTTAAGACCCATTAAGGTGAATATATCCCATATGTATGATACATTTCTAGCCTCTTAAACCTACTGATGGACCAAAGAGTTTGCAAGTTATTGTTTCTCCACCGCTTTGCAGAACTTGTTGAGCTCTGGCAATATCCAGTACCTTTTTGCAGTTACGTACTCAGAAGTTTATAAAAGCCTTGCCTAGCCATGACTGTCTGTGGGATAATAACTTGAGCTTAAAGCAATTTAAGGACTGATAGTCGACGTTTACACAATGAAATAAGTAGGTCTTATCTTATGGGAGCTATGATGACTTCAGTTCATATACAAGATTGACTGACAGCCTCCAAACCACACACAACAAATATAAGTAGCTTGTTCAGTTGCTTAATCGAAAGTCCCAATAAACCATATGATTTTGAAGTGAGATGAAATGTAACCCCTTTGCGTGTGTGAATCGGTTTTTACTATCGTTGTGGATGCTGAATAGACGACGGAGCGAGGCAAACGTGCAGTCCTGTCCAGCCTACATGAAAAAGCCACGATTGAATGAAATACAACTACATTGTCAGTACATTTACCCATTCCATAGTGAGAAATTCAACTACCAATCCTTACGCCATGTTGAGCTAACGAGACAGACTCAAGTTTTGATCGAATGTATGTAGACCAAGACGGTGTGGCCTCTATTTTGGTCACGGTCTCCTTACGTTGTATAGAAGTGGATTGACCTCACGTTCACGACCTGGTTTTGCTGTCAAATCGATTTGGATGAAAGCAACTTTTCCAGAGTTCTCTGCAATAGTAGCTGTACTAATTTCCAACGCCGAATCGTGGACTCGGCACACTCTGAAACATTTCATCGGAATCGTAGTCGGTATTGTCATAATTAGCACCAAGCAACAATTCGTCAAAGAAATAAGTGAAGTCCATCTCTTGATCAATTATTGTTGCATCTCTTATGCTGACCGTATATATTTGTTAGACCCACTATCACAACTTTTAACTTGTACTGATGCTGGCGAACCGTGCACTTAGTTCGAAAAGGTGGATGGAAAAGATTCGTCAATTGGCCTCACCGGACACTCCTGGATTGAACGGAAGAAGACAATGGCTCACCTTACTGCGGCATCGATGAATTTGTGCTGACATTTCATCCATCATATGGCGGACGTTGACAAAACCATAAACCATGCTTCACGAAAAGTTCACAATAAACTCTAAATGGCGATAGTCTGAAATT